TTTTTTCTAGACAGGTTTTTAACTCCAACATTCAAACATAATTAGCATTCTAAAAGTGAGAGAAAGAAGGTAAGAGATATTCAATGTCCAAGTTGCATTTTTCTCTCAAAGGTAGACCCCACCTCTTTTTGCCCTTTCTTTGTTCTCCATTATAAAAAGACACTAACTATTCTAACCTCTAATAGCAAGTACTCCCCAATAGATTTGTTGCTTCAACAGACTATATAATGTCAGTGTCCTTGCCTCTTAATGTTCAGAATTGTATAAATGTCAATATTTTATATAACATTTACAAATTTTTCTGCAAAATATAAAAATCTCACAGAACGTAAATTCTGCTGAAATTATGTTGACAACATATTATGTGATTTTCATAGTTAATAGTATATACAATGATCTGGAAAAATAATATAGTAGTAGACTAAATTGAACTCTTCATATATATTTTTTATATAAAAAATTGACTTCTCAAGTTATTAATATTTTAAAATTAAAAATGCAAGGATTGTAGATATGGAATTTTAGAATGAAAAACACTTTCTTTGACTAATTACCATCTTAATATTGGGTAATGTCATTAGTAACTGTGTGTGTATGTGTGTGTGTACATTTAAGTAAATAATTTTCTCTTTGTTTTTTGCCCACTTAAAGCAGTTAATGTTTCTGTTTCATTTGATGGAACTTAAATTATCGCTGACTACTTACTTTTCTTCCTTATACCTCTTGGCCAACATGTGATGTGATAATGCATGTGGAATGATAGTATATAATTTTCTTGAATTAACTTATGAGATAGGATTATACAATTTCGATTAAATTTCTTTTCTCTCAAAGACATCTTATTTACTTTATACAATGCCTTTTAGATTAATCAGTTCTATTTTAATTAAGAAAACCAAGGTAGAAAAATTAAACAATTTTTCCAGGTTCATAAAGTGTGATTGCAGAATTAAAAGAATAAAACTGTAGAACTGCAGGAGAACTGGAAGAGACTGTTCATGTTTCTGGTCAAACTCTTCATTTCAGTGAGGGAGAAAATTGAAGTCTGAAGCAGTTAAGTGACTTGATCAAGATTATATACTAGACAGTTAGTGACAGAACAGAACAGAAGGGAAACTGGGTTGCCCAGCTGCTGGCTCATGTCTTTCTACTCTACCATGCTCACAAATTTCAAGTTTGAAATTTTTGTATTCATATAAGTTAGCTGGAGGCAGTAAGCATAGCCCTATAAAGCAACTCTTGAACACTTGGAGAAACATGTTATCAAGTGTAAATTAGAATAGTATTGGGAAGACCTAGTGAGGAAACAGCCAGAAAAGAAAAGATTCGTTACGGAATATGAATCAAAATTTGGAGAATAAGAGGCGAGAGAATGTTGCAAGTGTGAGAACCAGCAAGGGTACACACTCATATGGGAGAGTGAGGAAATTGTTGGAGAGTAGGAATGCGGTTAGAAAATAGAATCTATTGATTCTCTTGGCTCAGAGAATCTATGTTGGGGAGTAATAGAATGACGCTGGTGAGAAAGGAACTGGAGGCAGAAAAAGAACAGAGAAGGGAAGGGCTTAGCAAGGACTTAATAGGCACAGTTGGCAGAGAGTGAAGGGCCTACTAGATTCTAATGATTAAATATAACTTCATTAGAGCAGTGATTTTTTGGGTATGCTTTATTCATGGTTGTATCCTCCGTGCCCAGAAGAGTGCCTAGTACATAGCAGGCATTCATTAAATATTTGTTAAATGAACAAATAAATAAATGAATGAGGGAGATATGGAGATTTACAACATGGAAGCTTTGAACAAAAGAGTAATATGATATAAACAGCATCCAAGGTAGAGTATTCTTGTAAATGTATCAATATGGCATAACATGATGACTTAAATAAGACTTTTAATCACAGGAAAAGAAAAGATGTATGGCAGAAGAAAAATAAATGGAAGGAAAATGATACAATATGGACTTGTATTTGGAAGCACAAGAATATCTCTTACGAGCCAATGGAATGCAAAGGGAAACTTCAAAATCATTTGGATTCAAATTCAATTTTGCTTCTTTAAAAATGGACACCTGGGAAATAAAGCACCAATGGTTTTATTTTTTCAAAATATAAGAGCAGTTTCAGAATCCCTCACAAAACAATGAACAAACTGTAATTTTTTATAATATGTTATAACTTGCGCAAACACAGGACTATTTTTCCAGGATATCATGGAAACTATTTTTTAATTGTGGCAACTTTTCATTTTAAAATAACTCCCATGGAAGAAGTGACAAGATTCATGAAGCAGGTTTATCAGTGCCACTAATGCGTCTATATCTAACTCTTCCAGTGTTATTCTATGCTATTTCATAATCATCCCTAATTACTGCCTTTACTATACTTCTCTCAATTGAACTCTGCCTTTTGCTATAGATTGACCAATACCCTAATTTCAATCAAGTGTTAGGAAATAAGCTAAATTGCTTTGATGTGGAGAATTATTTCTTTGCTTTTTATGAGTGCTTATAACATATCCTGTATTATTAGAGAGGCCTATATAAAAGCCCAAACCATTGATTTGAATATTTAAATTCTAGAATTCACAGCACCTTAGATAAGCTAAGGTAACTGTTTTCTACCTGATTAATGACAGCAAGAATTAAACTGCGGTAGCTGACACATGGGAAACTGCGGAGAATGAAGGGTTCATATTTTGGCTGACATGCTGTTTGCGACTTTTAATTCTCCTTTTTATTTTATCAAGTTCACATGAGGGAGAGAAAAGGCACTCAGTGATACTCGGAACAATTATAGCACCTTTCTTTTTCTTTTGTGCAGAGAAGAATAACTTAACTTTACCTGCCAATATTTTCTTTCATCGCACATTTTCATTCTTTTTTAATGACGAATGTTATGAAAGTGGCCTATGTCATCACACATACTGACCTCTCTTAAGAGTTTAAGCTGTAGAAAGCTAACAGAGACTCCCTATCTTTGAAAATGCTATTGCCATTGTTGCTCTCAGTGTACCACCAACAAGTTGATACAAAATTCATAAACAAAATAGGGAGATAAGGAACAAAGTCTGGGAAGCCAAGGTGTAAACTTGGGGGAAAGAAGAAAAAACACCTTATACATAAAAATAAACTCTGTTCTACTCCTAGCAATCTACTTCTCATAAAAACAAATCCTTTTCTACTCCTAGAAAAAATCTACTCTCTATTCCATCCTTTCAATTTGTATGCATTTCTTTGTAGAAGTTTCCTTCTTTCTTTATATGCTATGGTATCGCATGGTGGTTAAAAGTTCAGACTCTGAAGTCAGAATCCCTGGTTTCTTTTTCTTTTTTTTTTTAAGACGGAGCTTCGCTTTTGTTGCCAAGGCTGGAGTGCAATGGTCCCGGGACTGTAACCTCTGCCTCCTGGGTTCCCAGGTTCAAGTGATTCTTCTGCCTCAGCCTCCCGAGTAGCTGGGACTACAAGTGCGTGCCACCATAACCAGCTAATTTTTGTATTTTTAGTAGAGACGGGGTTTCATCATGTTGGCCAGGATGGTCTCGATCTCTTGACCTCATGATCCACCGGCCTCAGCCTCCCAAAATGCTGGGATTACAGGCGTGAGTCACCACGCCCGGCCAGAGTGACTCATTCTAACATTCAATGACCTGGCCTCTTAGAGTTTCTAAACCACTTGACGGTTAGTTATATCTACCTGGCCCAGACTCCCTGTTTTCATCTTGTATCTTCCACTTGCTAAGTGACCCTAAGGAAGTTATTTAGCCTCTCTGTGCCTCACTTTCTTCAAATGTAAAAAGAATTTAACAATAAAATCTACCTCTTAGGGTTGCTGAGAGCATTAAACCAGTCAATGAATGGAAAGTGCTTACGGCGTTGCGTGGTATGTAGGTACATCATGTAAACGTTAGTTGCCATCATTATTTCATACTTGATGCAGACATTTACAATAGTGCTTCTGAATTAATAAAAATTCAGATTTTCCTCCTCATAGAAGTATATATGTTAAAATTTTGGACAAGTTAGAAGAACTATAAAGAAGAAAAAAAAACTCCCTTCTGTAATCTTTCTATCTAGAGGTAGTAACTACTCCCACCCTTTAGTGCATACTCCCATAACTATTATTAAGTCCATTTGGTCATCTTCTACCTCCCTTCACTATCACTTTTTCTCTAGACATAGAAGAAAGCACAAAATAGTTTTAATAAAGAGAAATGAATTAAGAAAGGCAACTGCTTAGAAAGCAGGAAGACTGGCTTTCATTCCCCGCCCTTGCTGGATCATTTAAGTTACAAGGGGCATTTTACTATCTCTATCCTTTTGTTCCTCCACGGAACTACTGCAAAACTGATATAACAAGAACTTCCCTCTGCCCCTTTTACAAAGATGCTACGATGCATCCATTAACTAACTTCTCAAAAGAAAGCTGGCACATAGAAGGGGGCAAAATATGAAGTATGTGAGTATAGTACAACTAAAAGCTTAGTTTACAGAGGAGGTGTTTTAACAAAATCTGAGAGGAAGCAAAAGACAGGAAGTTGCTATAGTCTCTCTTTAACTGTAGGAGCTATCTCCTCTAAACTGTTAATTATGATGTGTTACAGTTTTTAAAGACTGTCCTCTGGTATGCATTTAGACTAATGCCAAAAATAATTCCATAATATCCGTTAATTTGTTATCGCTTTTTGTATAACCCTGTGATATGCCAAAAGAGAAATTTATGAAATTAGAATAGCTGCACCTCCTCATTTGAATTCACTCTAATGTCTTAATATCCATGTCTCCTATGGTTATAAAACATCACCATTTTAATCTAATCTGAATCCTCAAGTGTCATCTCCATACCAAGCAAATAAATGATTCATTTATTCAAAATAAAATGAATCATTCTGAAATTGGATGATTTACATAGACATGTGAGATACTAGTTACTTGTGCTAAGACAATGAGGAAAATTTGGCCATTTTAATTCATTTTGGCCTTTTTGCTCCAGATCTTTTCCTACCTAATGTTGAGAGACTTTTTCCGAAGTTCACTCCACTTGAAGTTCATGTTATCCAAACGTCTTTGTAACAGGACTGCATCATCAGAACCTTCCAGGGATCTCAGGACTTTTTGGCTGTTTTCATCCAGGTTGTGATAAACATCTGTGTGAGCTTCAATTTCACCTTGGAGGTCCTACAGGACAGCAGGAAGAAGAATATGTGCAGAATTACCAAAGGAAGCAAGTGATGAATGTGAATTTGGAGAATTGCAAAAAATAAATAATTATTAGTTCAAAAGACACTTCAATCAGGTTAACTAACAAGAAGATACATCTTAAATCCCTTTTCTTGGCGTATTGCCTTCACCTGTTATTATGTAGATTTAAAATGGGCATCTTATTACATGTAATAAATTTACTCCTTGCCATTATGAGTTGGAAAGTAATGTATTTATAACTTCATAAAGTTCACTAGTTATATCTTCTAGTCTATGAACAAAATGTATTATTTTATGGAAGTGATAGGAAATAAAATTCTATGACAAAGTATACCCCAGTGCCAATAATTTCATTACTATATGGATCAAGTCATATTTTCTATTCACGTAGTAGTCTGTAGAGTTAACTCTGACCATAAAAGCGTGGAGAGACTAATAAACAAGATTGTACTTGGTCCACAGCACCAGCACATTCCTGGGAGTCTGTCATGGGGGAGAGAATCTTCTTGACAACACACATTAAGTTCACCTTGGTATTATACCATCATACATAGAGTACAGCATCATACATTTATTAGTTATGATTTCCCATTTAATACATATTTTTAGGCTTGACAGGTAGAAAGTACATAGGACCTTGGTAAGAGTTATGATAAGAGGTTATGCATTCAACCTCATTTGTATATACACAGATCAAGAAAATTATTATAGTAGAAGAATCTGACCTTTACATGGTATGTCTTCCTGTGTAACATTTTCAGCTTGAACCGAGGACTACAGCACTGATCCTGTTGCATAGCAATCCTGAGAAAACCCAGAAACTGAAAGAGCCCCGCTTTAAAATGCCAACTTTGCTTACATTCTGTTGACAGAATGAATTTTGGAGCACAGGCCTCACCAGTCAATAATAATAAACGGCCACTTTGTACTCTGCACTAAACAGTAGCCGGGCGTGTGGATGTGGGAGGAACCTCAAAGAGAGGAGGCCTGGAATATGCAACTGACAGTTTATATTAAACAGCCAACTTTTCTTATCATTTTGCCATTACAAGCCAGAGACATTATAAATTCATTTTATATATGTGTTTCCCTCCTTGTTCCCAGCAGAACAGTCAAAGCCAAGGGAACATTCCTTTGAGAGCTGCCGGGTACCAGCATTCCTTTCTGCCTACACAATGAATGGAGGCTTTGTACATTATCTGACTTGCTCTTAGAGATTTGTATGCTTCTGTTCAACAAGTTTAAAAATTCACTCTGAAGCTCCAAACAATTGGATTGATCTGTGTAACTAGAAAAGTTTTTTTTTTCCCCTCTCTCTCTCTCTCAAATTGAATTAAATTGCTCTGCTAAAGTAAGGGAGAAAGTGGCAGAAATAACATGTTAGAAATTCTGAAGAACTGGCTCATGTTTTCAGCCACAGCCTCTTAAGATGCAGAATTCTGAATGTTAGACAAGTAAGGTAGACAGACAATGAATGTCTGTTGTCACTATTTTTGGCAGCTAAAGCATCACTGATGGACTCTAAAGAGAGTTGTGTCCCATTCTCTTTGACTGGGAGACAGGAAGGGGAATATGGATAGAACCACATCAGAAGTTGAAAGAAGGGAAATACTGAAACAGACTGAGTAGTATCTCTGTCCCATCAAAACCAGGTTTGTACTGGAAGGGTATAGCCTGATTTTGAAACTAGTTTATATGGTAGAAGGTTAGTATTGGGATTCTTGAAGAATGAAGTTTGGTCAAATAGATAGCCATTTTATGTTTTTCTTTCTTTCTTCCTTTTGCCTACATAGAATAACACGTCTGCCTAATTTGCACTTCTTCAGCAAAAGAGAAAAGTGAGTGAATTTATCTAAGTACTTCAGGAGAAAAAGCCAACCAGATCTAAGTTCCAGAAAATTCCTTCACTTGTCTTTTACTTTTCTTGTTCTGTTGTATTTGATTTGTACAACACTTTCCTTTTGTGTATGCACTTACGGGATTAAAGACAAACTTTTAGTTGTTCAACAAAATAAAGTATTTTCACTAGTAGCATCAGTTTTCCATGTTTACTATATTAGTATACATATGAAGGATAGTACATTTGAATTTTTATATCCTACATTGATAGCAGAGACCCAGGCTCAACCACGAGCTCCTTAAGGTTATGTATACCATGAAGTCACCAACACTTTCTTTGTGTTGATTCATGAATTTGCTAATTTTCATCTTTGCCATGTATATTATACTGCGTATAGACATCTTTGTTGTATTATCAACAAATAAATGAATATAAAGTTGATAAACAAGTAGTTATTGAGGACTGATTTACTGTCTAGTTTTAGCACTTTGGGAAATGTAAGAGGAGTAGAAATGATAGCTCTGTCTTTAATTTTCCTAAAACCTAGTGCGTGCTTTTGTTTAATTTGTTTATATTACCAACTAAATACTGATGGGAATTCCTGCCAAGTCTTCATAGATACGGGGATAAAGACTCCTTCCTTTAGAAATGCAGAAATGGCTAAAGTTGTCTTAGCATTGGCAAGAAGATAAGTCTTCTGTCAGTACTCGTTTTCTAGGTCATGATGGTGGTATAGAGCTATAAATGACACGTGTACAGTAAAGGGCTTTACTGGTTACAAAGCACGTACAAATGTACCACCTTAGTCATTCCTCCCCCTGGCTCTGTGAAGTACATCACATTTTCTGTTTTGCAGATGAGAGCACTGTGACTTGGATGTTTAACTGACTTGCCTAAAAGTCACATAGCTGATAAGTGTTAGAACTCGGAAGTGGATCCAATTCTCTTGATTCTAGAAGATCTTGGGCTGTCACCGCCAACCCATTTGCCCGAAGCATTGGACATAATATACAGTAGTCATTGAACCTGAACGAAGATACTACTTGCAAGAGGAAATAAGTGACTGTTGAGGGAAAAGCACCTTGAGAGACAGCAATCTTGAGTTTGATAAAATGTTTACCCACGTGGATTGATTTGTTCTCAATGAAAAATTGAATTCTGACTGCTCTTTTCACTTCTCATTTAGCATGGGACATCCTGGACCACCTGTGAGCAAAAAATGTTCACACTGAAAAGGTTTCCTTTCTACAAATTTCCCTGCTGCCAGAACAGCAATTCTGCCATCAGTAGTTCATCTCTTTGTCTACAAGAGCCATGTGGACCATACCACGTGGAACCATACCAAGAAATGATTTGACACATCAGCATAAACATAGCTCATCCATGTTCCTTTGGGATGGCAGGCTGGTAGGAAACCTGTCAAGCTACAGGATTCAGATAGGTTGCCCTAAAAGGAAGGTAAGTATTGGGGAAGAACCCAAGGCTCTCTTTCAAACACTGGCATGCTGTAGTGGAGATTTTTCAGTATCAATAAGGCAACATGAGTCATATATATAAAACTACCATAATGATATTTGTCTAAACTCATCATTTAAAGACTAAACCTCAGACTCAGGTAGCACAAAAAAGCAAAAGACTGATATGGAGAATCAAGTGGGGTTCTCAGAGGGTAGCCAATCTGGACAAAGGGTAATTTTCATGGAAATTTTTGGATAGTTTTATTTCACTTCTGACTTAAGTAGAAAAGATCATTCATTACTGCATTCACTGTATGCTCTCTAATTTTTTTCTTCTTTTTTGTGACTGTAGTCTTTAGGAAAAGCAATAACGAATAAACAAAGGGGAAAAGGTATTTGTTATGTAACAAAAACCATAGCAGCAGCAGCAGCAGCAGCAGCAAAAGCAACAACATACATGAAACTTACTATATACCAGGTGCTGTCCAAAGTGCTGTATATACACGAGCTCATTTTCTCCTCTCAACAATCCTCCAGGGTAGGGGCTACTATTACCTTCATTTTCCATATAAGATAATGAAACTACTGTAAGGTTAACTAAAAATGCCCAAGGTCACACAACTAATAAATGCAGCAAGATTTAGAACCTAGTCAGTCAGACTTCAGGGACTGTGCTCTTAGCCACTAGGCTATACTACCTTTCAAGTTTAGTTGTTGGTGGTAGTTTTTCCTATTAATAATGCTACTACCTAAATTTTCACAAATCTAGGACTGCCATTAGAAAATAAAGGATAATGATTTCAGCATACGAAGAGCAATTTTATGGTCTTATTAATATAAAGACTATTAAACAGATTTGTAGCAGTGGACAGAGATGCATCCAATACAACAAGAGAAAACACAAAGTAGTTGAGAAAATGGGTGCAAACGAATAAAAGAATGTGTGTCCCATAAGAGAAATATTTGGTCTAAAGTTCTGCACAATTATAGAGCAAATTTCAGCTGGGAGTACCAAAAAAGTTCAGTTACGAGACAAGCAATATGTTCATAGTACAGCAGTTTTAGGAGTAGGGGAGATCCTGTTTTCTGAAGGGTTTTTACAGATTCCACACTTCCTTCTTATCTGAGTCTCATCTACTCCTGCTGTGAATCTCCTTTCTCAGCTTCCAGAGAAAATTCATGGCAAACTGCAGTTAAATAGACACAAGTTTGACTCTTCTCTTCTCCCCCTTATTAGCCACATAATGATGAAAACTCTTTTATTACTTTGGTTTCACTAAACATGAAATAATAATACATATCTGCTAAATTTTTTGAATATTACATGGAATAATTTTTGTAAAATAATTTGAATAGCGTCCAGAACACAAGAGGTCTTTAATAAATAATAGCAAATGCAGGGCTTACTATTACAAGATAATCCATGTGGAAATCAGATGATAGAAATAGATTTCATGAAGTTACGGGACTTGGCTTGAACCTTGAGGGATGTATATGATTGAGAAAGGGGGAAAAAAGAAAATATTCCAGGTAAAAAGAATAGCATGGGAATGGAGTAAAGGTGAAATGAATTTGGTTTATGAGCAGGGACAATGAATTGCACAACCTGATTGGAATGGACAATGAGTGTTGAGAGAAATAGGTAGAATGCAGCCCAACTGCATAAACCAAGTAGAATA